TTTAGGGTTTAGGGTTTAGGGTTTAGGGTTTGTTTGCAGGCGCGCGACGCTCCGTACCACCAGTGTGTGCCGGAGCCTTCTGAATATGCCTCAGACGCTCCGCCGATTCCTACACTGTTGACGAAATGGTCAGTTCTAGGGTTTAGGGTTTAGGGTTTAGGGTTTAGGGTTTAGGGTTTAGGGTTTAGGGTTTAGGGTTAACAGGCCAGGTGCGGGTTTCTGTGCGGCTGCCGCAAATCCCGTTTGCTGCTGCTGCCTGCCCGCCTCTTCCTGCCGGGCAGCGCCCCTAGGGTCTAGGGTTTAGGGTTTAGGGTTTAGGGTTTAGGGTTTAGGGTTTAGGGTTTTGCTGCAGCGCGGTCTCCGCTGTGGAGCCTCCCCCCCGCCCCAACTTTCCAGTGCACTGTCTCGCCAACCATTTGTTCCACGACTCGCACGCCCCGCATGTCTTTGGGTGATTTAATTTAATTAATTTAATTTATTTTATTTAATTTTATTTATTTAATTTAATTTATTTATTTAATTTAATTTATTAATTTAATTTAATTTAATTAATTTAATTAGTTAGTTTGATTTGATTTGATTCATTGGTTTAGTTGGATTGATTTAATTTTATTTAAGTAATTTGCTTTAATTTGATGTGATTTGATTTATGTTGGTTTGATTTGATTTGATTTTATTTTATTTTATTTGCTTTAATTTAATTTAATTTTATTTAATTTGATTTAATTTGATTTAATTTAATTTAATTTGATTTGATTTAATTTAATTTAATTTAATTTAATTTAATTTGATTTAATTTAATTTGAATTATTTTAATTTAATTTGATTTTATTTTATTTTTCGATGAATATTAAATATCTTTTTTTCGCTTTTTCTGCTGCGAGTCCTCGAGGCTCTTCTGACTTCATTTCTTTTCATTTCAATCTTCCAAAACTTCTTTTTCTATTTTTATTTTTATTTCCTTTTATTTCTTTTTTATTTTCTTTTTATTTCTTTTTATTTCTTTTTTATTTTATTTTCTTTTTTAGGCCCCAAATTTCTTGCGTGGCGAGCACTCAGCGCTGGCGCATCGACAACAACAAACCCACTGCAGGCCAGCGGTAAATTTTATTTTATTTTTATTTTTATTTTTATTTTCTTTCTTTCTTTTTTTGTCTTTTTTGTCTCTTTTTGTTCCTTTTTTTGTCCTTTTTTGTCTCCTTTTTGTCTCCTTTTGTCTCCTTTTTATTTCCTTTTTATTTCGGTCTTTTTTCTCCGCCTTTTGGTGTTTTTTTTGGTTTTTTTTGTCCCTTTTTTGTCTTTTTTTGTCTTCTTTTTTGTTCGCCTTTGAATCTCTGTTTGTCTCATTTTTGTCTTCTTTTTATTTTATTTTTATTTTTATTTCGTTTTTGTTTTTCTTTTTATTTTACTTTTATTCTTTTTTATCACTTTTTTTCTGCTTCTTTTAAATCTCTTTTTGTGTCTTTTTTGTCTTTTTTCAATTTCCACTTTTCTCTTTTATCTTCTTTTTTTTATTTCCTCTAATTATTTAATTCATTTAAATTTGTAAAAAAAATAAATACATTATTGAGGCATTTAGCAACTATTAATTTATATGTTGCTTTGTCTTGCTGCTGCTGTTGCTGCTGTTGCTGCTGCTGCTGCTGTTGCTGCTGCTGCTGCTGCTGCTGCTGCTGTGTTGCTGCTGCTGCTGCAGCTACGCAACTTACATTTATTTAACAATAAACCCTCTTTACCCTTTTCCTGTTGCTGGGGAGACAGCAGCAGAAGAAGCAGCAGCAAACTTGCCTGCTGCTGCTGCTGCTGCTCTAAACCCTCTGCGGGACTTCATTGTGCTGCCAAGTCCGACGCCCGACTCAAACCCTCGCCTAAACCCTAATTTAGGGTTTGAACAAAAACCCCGGCCGGTCTCTCCTGCCTCTCAAGGAGACTCAGAAAAAACAAAAGAAGAAACAGAAGCAGCAGCAGACTCTCCCAAGAGACAAGACGAGCTCAGCCCTCCAGCAGCAGCAGCAGCAGCAGCAGCAGCAGCGGATGCTGCTGCTGCTGCTGCTGCTGCTGCTGAGGCCCCAAACGCCGCAGCTTAGGGGCGAGGCGTGCATGCATTTGTGCTTTTTTGTTCTTTTTCTTTATAGACACTTATTTATTTATTTATTTATTTATTTATTTATTTATTTATTTCTTGATTATTTATTTATTTCTTCATTAGACTCTCTTTCTCTTCTTCCTTGACGCGTTTGCCCAACAGCAGCTGTACATACACCCCAGCAGGGCTTTGTCCGCTGCAGCAGCAGCTGCAGCAGCTGCTGCAGCAGCAGCTACAGCAGTAGCTGCAGCAGCAGCTATAGCAGCAGCTGCAGCAGCAGCTGCACCAGCTGCTGCAGCAGCAGCTGTAGCAGCAGCTGTAGCAGCAGCTGCAGCAGCAGCTGCACCAGCTGCTGCAGCAGCAGCCGTAGCAGCAGCTGCAGCAGCAGCTGCATGCAGCAGAGCCAGAGACACAGCAGAGTCTCTTTATAGCCGCAGAAAGCTCCATTCTGCTGCATGCATGCATTCAAAAGCCCCGAAGTTTACATGCAGTGCTTGCACGCATGCATGCGCGCATGCAAGTGATGCATGCGTGCATGCAAGGCATGCAAACGCCCCCCTGTTTGCCTGCCCTGCTCGCATGCATGCATGCACGCATGCATGCATGCATGCATGCGAAAGCCCCATCACTTCCATGCCTAGCTTGCATGCATGCATGCATGCATGCATGCATGCATGTGCTGCAGCTCTTGCTGCAGCTCTTGCTGCATGCACGCATGCATGCATGCATGCATGCAAGGGCCTCGCCATTTGAAAGCCCCGTTGTTTGCATGCATGCAGCCAGTGGGGCTTTTTGAACTCTTGGGGTTTCAGCCCCACAGCGAAGACGCATGCAAGTGCATGCGTTGTTTCTTTTCTTCTTTTGTTTCTCTGAATTTGCAAGTCCTAATAAAACTTCATCAAACCCTAAACCCTAAACCCTAAACCCTAGGCTCCGCAGGAAACCTCAGTCGCTGGCTACAGCGTGGAAGCCGTTTTTCTCGTAAACCCTAAACCCTAAACCCTAAACCCTAGCTTTTGTACGAAGAGTTGCTCGTGAGAAACTTGAAGAGAAAAAGGGCCAGTGGGTGTCAGGTGTACGTACACCTCTGA